GTAAGACAAGTACAAATGGCCTTTCTTCTCGTCAGCAGAATTTTACACTAATTTTATGATTATATATATAAATATATATTAATAATTATGAAATGTTTATTGATTTTAGAATAATTTTACTTAGTTTGTAGTGAATTATCTTCTATCAAGTTTAAACAGCTGTAGCAATTCCTACTTCAAATTACTTATTTTCAGACATCGTGATTATTTTCTGTGGTGTTTGGCACAGAAAATATATATAATGTCGATTATACACTTTAAAACATAAGTTCGTATTTTTATGTAAAAGAATTTTAGGGACGAAAGTATGTAAGTTTCTGCGGACACAGTGCATGTTAATTATCATCAGACACAGTGCTTTAATTTACATGAGACCAGTCATTTTAAAAGTTATCATGCAACCATGCATGTTAATTTATCAGCGACCAGTGCATGTTAATTTAAAACATGCAAAAACCGTGCAGTTAAAGTTATCATGAGACACAGTGCATGTTAAGTTATCATGCAGCACAGTGTGTAATTATCGCAGCACAGTCATGTTAATTAATGCAGACACAGGATGTTTAACTTTATCATGCAGACACAGTGCAGTTAATTTATCTGCAGAACAGTGTTGTAAGTTTCTGCAGAAAAATTGTTTGTAAGTTTCATGCGACAAGTGCTGTTAAGTTATCATGCAGACACACATGTTAAGTAAAAAGAAGAACCGGGGGCATGTTAAGTTATCATGCAGCACATGCTTTTGATCGCGAAAAAAAAAAATTATTTGGCCGTCTTTACCCCCCCCCCCCCCCCCCCCCCCCCATCCCCCCCCCCCCCCCCCCCATCCCCCCCCTTTTCCCCTTTTTACCCCTACGTGTCCAACTACGAACCACAGCCCGTGACCCGGCATGTTTTTAAGTATCTGTCCGCTCCTTCTTAAAGGTAGCCAGGGCCTATTGGCAATTCCCTTTCCCGGGTAGGAGGCTGTTGACAGTCTTGGGCCCGGGAACTTTTTTGTTTTCTTTAGATTTTATTCGGCGTTTTATTTGTGAAGACGTTCCGCCCACAGATCTTTTTTAAGCATTGAAAAAGCCCCCTGGGGGATAGCTTCCCCAGAAAATTTACAAATAAAATTCCATAGCTGATTGTTTGTTATTACGATCACGGTGAATTTGTGGCTGTACCCCTGCTTGTTGTACGATAACCGAGGGGGAATGAGGTACGGCAGAAGTCAGCTTTTAAATTTTTATAAAAAACTTCCTTCCCCTAAATAGATGCAAGGCTGCCTCGCAGGGGCCAGTGGCCTTTGCGGTTTTTCCCCTTTCTTGTGTTCTTGTGTATTGTAAAATGTATATACCCATGTACAAAAAATTTTGCAAGCACGATCAGTGGAACTGTGACGCCCGGATTGGGGAAATCGCCATTTTTGGCTCCACGAGCCCCCGTATCGTTCACAAGCCATATCCGGTGGGGCTTGAACCCTCGTCAAAAATCGTTAACCCCCAGACGACGCTGGATTTTTTACGGTCTCTGAAGGGGTTAAAACCCCCCCGGGTTTGGGTTTTGTTTGAATTGTGTCAAATTGTGTTTGCAGTTTTTTCAAAATTTGGAGGTTCCCTTGTGATTGGCTGGGTTAAACCAAGGGTGTAGTAAAAAGGGGGGTCCCTTTGTTATTCTCTATCGTTGGTTCGTTGGTAGGGGAGCCTATAGGGGGTGTGACATACGCAAAATAAAGTAAAACGTATCAAAGCTCCAACTTGTTAACATCACTTAGATCTTGAAGACAAAGACATTGGGGTAAAGGGGTGTGCTATTGTATAGCGGGTCTGTTTTATCTGTCCTGACGAAGCTTGCACAGAGTGAAGTTTGTAGTGAAGGGTTAGAAAACCGACATGTTGATAATTAGACAATGGGGAAACCTTTTGGGTATCTTTATTGAGGAAACGTTTCGCCACACAGTGGCTTCATCAGTCCATACAAAGGAGAATCTTGAAAAAAACGGGGAGAATGAGGTAATCGTCCTCAACCTTGAGTCGATGTGGTCAGTCACAACTTAAATAAAATACGGTTTTAACGTGCGAAAGGGGCTTATAAACCTTTGGGCAGAGAGGTGCAGCAGTCATGGTCGTGTAAATCGATCAAGGTTGAGGGACTGATTACCTCTTTCTTCTCCTGTTCTTCAAGATTTCCTTTGTATGGATTGAAGCCACTGTGTGGCAAAATTTCATAAATAAAAGATACCAGGTTGCCATGTGTTAATTTATAAACAGGTGAATTTTTGTCCCAAAAAATGCTTTTTTTGCAATTGTGTCTTTGTTTTTTTACACTTAATTCTATTTTAAAATAGACCATGTGAAAATCTGCTTCTTCATTCTTAGATTTTTTACCATCCATTGTTTTATCAGAAAAAGGGGGACATACACGGAAGACTGTACAAGAAGATAATCACCCCTCACCTCGTGATTATAACCGAAGACAATAAGGGATGGGTAATCAGTCCCTCATTGTAAGCAGGTTTTGATAAAACAATCTTGGGGAATCTGAGCAAAGGGGGAAGATGGAACATATAATCCTGGAGCCCAGATGAGGTGAGTAGGTAAAGGCATTTTCATGGTACGGAGACCCCCCAGTGGACTTAGGTTATGAAAGATTGGGGCCCAAGGTAGTAACTGGGTTGTGAAAGTCCTCGTACCAAAAGGTTTGTAATGAAAGATGCAAGGGTTTGCATTCCCGGGAAAGTGATGAATTAACACATAGGAAACATCGGGGATTTTTATTCTATTGACGTTTTACCATCCAGTTTTTTTTATAAAGCGATCAGGACTCACTTAACTTAAGAAGAAGTAACTTTTCTTATGGTCCCGACTACCAGTGATACCTTGGTTATTGCAGCTCATCTCCTCTAGTACATAATTGCTCATTTCCTGCTTTTCCTTCAGTTTCAAAAAGATAGGTTCTCAAACCGCCTCGGCTGGGGATATTTCCTCTTTTCTTTAGTTTTCCGTTTTTTCCCAGTATTGTACGAAAAAAGCCCTGGATGGTAAAAACGTCTAAAAAAAAATTACCTAACGTTAAATTTTTCTAATTCCCCAACTTTCGGTTTGTATACTTTTGGGCTTTATTTTTTATATTTATGGAGAAGTAGTTTGAGATGATCAGTCCTTCAGTCTGACGAAAGAAACTTACGAACTAACATGTTCATAAAGGCTGGGGGACGAAACCTAAACTACTTCTTTACTTCCCACCGTCTCCAACGTTCAAAGTCTGTGGGGGATACACGATACACATGTTTGTCCTATCTCCACGTTTATTATCGTGGGGGATGTAAAGCCGGGTTGGGAAAATTCTTAAAATAAAGACACCCAATGTTGCACACACTTCCCTCAGTCCCCTTCACACTTGTCCCCAATAATCCTTTTCACCCATGTTGTCGCAGTGGAATCCATGCTAACCTTAAAAATAATTTAACATGCAAAAAATTTTTTCCCTCTTTTTTTCAGGGTTACTACAAGCAGGGGGATTCTAGACAGCACAGGAAAAGGGGGACCCCAAGATTGGTGAGGCTATAGCCAAGGAACACCGTAATCAAAATGCCTGGGTAAGCAATTGTTTGGTTAAATTCGCCAATGAAAATTAATCGCCAAAGTGAGAGAGATTAAAAATGTACAGAAGCTGTCTATGAAAAGAGGTTAAGACAAAGGGTACTTTATAAATATTACATTCTGGGGAGAGGCTAAACCCTAGGGTCACACGGGCCTGAGAATAAAGAGGTTTGATTTGAAAAGTTATCGTAGCCCCAAAATTTCTTGGATAAGAGCCTTTCCCCAGCACCGGAACCCCCTCAAAGGGCCCTTGCGAAAAAAGCATTTTAAAAAATTTTTTTTTTTCCCCATTTAGCTTTTTACATAAATTCTTTAAATTTATGAGTATTCTTTGTTTTTATGCCATTGCTTCTTTTCAAAAAAAATATAATTCATATAGTTAATATTTAAAACCTTATTTTTTAAAAATTTTAATGGTCCAAAATCGATAAAATGACGTCATTGTTCTTTCCCAGTTTCCGGGGTCACCCTTTTAAGCATCAGCGATGAGGTCAATACGTATTAAAATTTTAAAAATTACAGAAAAAAAATTATTTTTATACTATTACATTTACAAATACAGAAAAAAATTATTTAATTTTTAATTGGTTCGGGGACAAAAATTTAAAAACTTATTACTTCAGTTTGTATTGAAGTTTGAATTTCTTTTTTTTGTTTCAAAACACATCAAATACGTGCAAAATTTACTTGTTTCCCAAAAATTTGGTGTTTAAAATTGGTAACACTAATGAGCTGTCTTAATCGGGTTTTTGTTGTTCATGTTCCCCCAATAATTGTATAGCAAAAAAAAAATAATGATCAGGGCTGGTGTGGTTTAGTTTTTAGCATATTTCCCTATGATTTTGCCTGAGAGGAAAGGAAAACACTGGAAGGCATGAGAGAGGCACGAAAAAGGTCGAGAAAGGCCTGAAAAGGGGCCTGAGAAAGCAGGAGGGGGATCACCTGGAATCCCCCAAAACTAAAACCCTATCCGAACAAACAGCATCCCTAAAAGGGAAAGGTTAACAATTCCCCTAATGTCCCCGAAAAAAGGTCCATAATCGTGTTTTCACTGAAGACACCTTCAACACTGTCTTTGGGTTGAGGTCGAATTTTTGTAAATTTTAGTACTTCAGCCCTTTTGTAATGGTGGTAGAAAAATATTAAGTGCCACTCTTTTCCTAATGTTCATCAGCACTTCACAGCTTTTAAAGCAAAACTTTTAAGCCAATCTTCCAGAATCAGGGGTCGAGCATAGAGTACAAAAGGTTTTATGTTGGTCATATTTATCATCTTCACTACTTTTACCTGCTTTGCTAGGACCCCCACTCCCCACTCCTGGGCATATTCATAGAAAACCCCAGGGCTTTTTTCCGGGGGGATTGAAAGGGGTAGGTCACTCATTTACATAGCAAAGCTTAAAATATGCTAAAAGCT